GTGGTTTTGTCTCGTCAACAATTTGTTTCAAGACATTATTTAATTCAAATTAGATTGTTTATGATCGGATTACCATTAGGCAACGGTAAACATGAACTTAGGACAAAAAACATATTTCATATTCTACCTTCCCATAACGACCACGTCTCCACAACGTGCACTTTCAGGTTCAACTGCAGGGCGATTAAGTTTGAATCTTTATTCATTACTTCAAGCAAATTAGAGGCGCTTAAGGGGCGTATGTCTGAGTCATAGAACTAAACCAGGTTAAATATATACCAACCACCACGATGCATGTAGCCTCGTTTTGAAACTGAGAGTTTTTGGAACTCGGAAATGCCAACGTTTGTCGTACAGCTATGTCAAACCCTTTAGTATAACGCCCAACGGTAGTAGTTATGAATGATGACTATAATTATGAATTTCATATATTGTAACTGCGGATTGAGGCAATAAATTCCAGCAAGCCTGCAAAAGTTCAGGCTTGCTGAAATTCGAACCATGACCTCTACGATACTGGTGCAGGGCTTTACGCGGGCATACGTTGCGTCTTTAACAGGAACAATCTTGCATTTATTTCCTCAATCCGGGGTTCCAATATAGAAAATTCATGTATTTGTCATTTCATCTTCATCTTTTCCGGGTATAATACAAACAAATTTAATGATCAGCTCCCAGTTACGTGGCTTGCCGACGCAAATTGGTTAGAGCCCTGCATCGGTATCGCAGTCAGGGTTAATCTCGGCAAGCGCCCCGATTTTTTTCAGGCTTTTTTCGCAACTGCATAAGTTGAGACCGTAACTATGCATTTGTTATATCTATGCAACTGGCCTTAGATCAGCACCTAGTAGTACCGGAAGAGGCGTCATTTTTCATGAACATGGGTCAGTATAAAAATTTGATAAATTCCTCTCACCCCGCCCGTCACCCCTGAATAAGCTTCAATACATCCTGGTCGTCATCAATTCTTAGGCCTCACTTCGTACACGTACGTGCTCACGATTATCGGCCACACGTTTTTAAATGCGTTAGAACTAAGTAAATATTGGGAGTTGAACCACAAATTGACGATAAAGTCTTTAAATTAATCTGAATCGAAGCTGGTGGCGTTATAATATATAATGAATTATGCATCGTTCATTATTTTAGGCATATTATCGGTGTCTGATGTCAGAGGAAACTGCTTTTATTTAGCTTTTCCTTCAAAAAACACAATTTTATTGCAAAATATACAGCTATTTCGAGAAAGGTTGTCGGGAAAAGTGCACGCGACAATCCTGAAAGGCATTGTGGGTGGTTTTGAGTTCTCTGTTTTTCAAAGAAATTTGAAAGAATTGGCACGAAAGGCCATGGAAATGTGTTTGCGAGTGCTAAAGGGAAGCAACAAAAGTAGGTTCGACAGCTACAGTCGTCAAGAACAGTGTATTGATCATATCCCATATTACCTTTCGGGATTGTCGCGTGCACATTTTTCCGACAACCTTTCTCGAAATAGCTGTATATAAATTGTTCTTTTATTAAAATGCATTCATAAATTATGCGGAATTTATCTGCATGAAATCTTTAAGGTAAAATTTCATGCTTTTCTACAGAGGGTAAAATGGTATTTTCTTTTTTTTTTTTCAAAACGTTATTTTATATTTTTGCCCTTTCAAAAGGGATACAAAAATAATTAATAGCTTCAGTCTATAACACTGTAAATACCTGCTGAGATCCATTTCAATGAGGTGAATTTCCTACAATTTTCAGATTTACTTGACGCTTTACTTGATGCTTGTTTCAGTCAAACGCTTTTAGCTTTCAAAGTTGTTATAAACAGCTGCTGGAAACTTTTTAAAGTTCCTGTTGATAAAACAGAATTTTTGCTTCAGCTTCAAGCTTTCCCTACGGCTAAAACTCAGGGTGAACATTTCTAATGCTGTATGATCTTTCAGGTATTTGAGACTTAAAAAACTATTTTCCATGAAACGAAAGGAATATCCTTAACTTACTTTCCTTTTTCTTTGTTTGCTTGGTTTGTTTTGTTTTTTCCTTTTTTTTATTTCATGAATGTCCGTCTGACATTAATTATAAGACTGAGAAGAAAGGAAGAGTTGCTGCCGGTAAAAATTGATCAGAGCTCATGATTGTAGTACAGTTTAAGGCCAATGGTTTATGCTAAACTTTAAAAGCAAAGTACAATAGGCATATAGCCTTTATATAAAAAGAAAATACAAAAAAAGGGGGAAAAATGTAAGTTACATCGAGTTATGTTACTTTTAAACAGCAGACCTCAACCTGATTGTAGTGTCAATGCCGTGTTCTTCAGTACTGCGCACCAGCCCGGGTAAATATCCTACACGAGAACATATACAGAAGAGTCTCGCTCGCGGACTTCTCCGGAAAATGGAAATATGCACATGTAGTTGTTCAATTCTATATCCTCGGTTTCAATTTAATTTATTCTCTGTTTTTGAAAGTGGTACTGAGTTAAGGGTTGAGACTGTCGCGTAATTTTTCCGTGCGAACGCAGGCAAAATTTACGCGCGTAAATGACATAGAGGTAGTGTATGAAAGGCCACGCGAAAACGTGAAAGTTGAGCGAGGTTCAACTTTTACGTTTACGCGTGACCTTTCATACATTGTCGCTATTTTATTCAGGCGCGTAAAATTTAAGTGCGTACCCACGTAAAAATTATGCGAAAGTGGAAATCCGCCTTTATCCGAGTCAGTGCCTTACCGGCAAAAACACGGACAGGTTGGCCGTAAAGAAAAAGAGAAGTTCAAATACCGAGCTAGGCGCAGTGTGACATATGATTACCGTCTTTGTGCACTCATCTTGTGGGTTCATTCATTCGGCTTTATTTCCGCCGATCTCTCGTGTCTGGTCTTTTTCCATCCCGAGAAGAGAGCAAGAACAAGAAGTCTCTAAATCTTTGAATACTCAAACTAAGCTGAGTGCCCTGCATTGCAAAAGCGACGATTTCTATTTGAACAACAGTCCCAGCTGCAAAAAGTTTAGAAATATATTTTATTTTCAATTAGCAACATAAGCAAAACTGAATATTAAGATTTCAAATGAAATCGCATTGTAAATTAAAGTTAAAAAACTGTGACTATTTTTTATAGAACATCGCTGAAGAGAAAAGATGTCATCAATGCGTGAAAAAAACTGAAAATGGTGCGTTACACGCCATTAATACACTTCGGTTAGCCAGTCAGCTCTCAGAATCTTGCTCAGAATTATAAGACAATGAATTGCAAATAAAAGGACAAAAAAACGAAATCAAGCCATAGGTAAAATTGCACCACATCAAGCATTATCAAAAAGGAAAAGCTGAAGACCGAGATGTTCGAAAAGAACGGGTGAAAACTAATAAGCGAAAACCAGCACAATTAAAACGGAAGTGAACACGCGACAATACATGTGACCCGAAACAGATGCTGATGTTTATTTCTAGCGGACGGACTGTTATTTCATAATTGGTCTTTTTGCATTTTTTTGTATGTCATTTTAAGAATACACGTTGCCAGGGATACCATTACTAAATTAAAAAGGTTGTAATTTTATTCATCGCCCCTTTCTTGTTTTCTTTAAAATTAATAATCATGGACCGAAGCAATTCCTTTCTGTGTTACTATTTCTATTCCAATAGTTTTCTTTTAAACTGAATAAAGTGACTTCGTGTATAGTGCAACTGATGGCATATGCCGTGATCTTCGCGCCAATTAGAGGTGTCATTAAGTGTAGCCAGGGGATCATTTGAAAAGAAAATTATCTAAATTCATAAATATTTGATGTCCGCCTTTCAGACGTTAAATGACTTGAGGGAATGAACAGTGATGTCTATAAAATGCGAAAATTTAAAAATTGTTCGAACATTATTTTTACCCACTTAGTCAAACGGAAAACAGCGTTTGGCTAGAACGCATACGGAAATATGGAGATCTCGGTGAAAATTTTCCGTCGAACTCAAATGGTAGTTTTTTTTGGTACGAGAAAAAGTAACGGGATTGAGTTGTACCAACCATAAGATGCCTCTAAATTTTCCATTTTCTTCTTAGCGGGAAGCCTGGCACTGGTTATCCACACACATGGTTCAGAAATTTTCCTTCGTTTCTGTAAAAGCGGGGGAAAAGAAATACCAAATGGAATGGTTCATCCAGGCGGAATGTGTGCTATGCAGGATATTTGCATATAAGTTTCGACAATCAATTGCAATGCGTCTTTGCTCACTGCTCGGCACTTTTGCCACTGCGCTGTGTTAAATTGAAATCAATCAGTCGCTCGCTAGTTTCCCGACAACCAAGCGAAAGTAGCACGTAACAGAGCGAACCTTGACTTTGTCACTTGTGTTTTCTCTCCATTTGGGCTTACAGATTATGATTAAAGTTATAATATAACCAGATTTTCCTCCTGTTGTTGACAGCGGTAATTTTATCTTATTTATATCCTTAGTACTTCATCGCAGAGTATTATTCAGGCGCACCCGACGACTGTTTTCTGTAAAATATCTGTTCGGAGGAGCAAATATTGCCTAAAATTTTCTTTTGCTTGAGGACGGCTAAAAATTTCTAGATGAACGTTCCATTCATGTACAATTTTCCAAGCTTTTCTAAAAAATTCCCTACGATTTTCAGAAGTTTAATTTTTAATATTTTACTATCCAGGTTACACTATTTTTCTCAGAAAAACGAAACCTACAATTTTCGGATTCTAAAATGTGATGGAGAGAGGAATCAGAAAAATTCTTACTTTCGTAAAACGTTAAATTACACCTAAAGTTTTCGGAAAAAAAAATAGTGAAGCCCTTGTAATTTAAGTTCCCATAGGATGACCGAACAGATAAAAATTTTGTAGCGCCGCTTAGAATGCATTTCTAGAGATCTAAAAGTACTCTGGATAGCCTAAAAAGTGTTTTCAACGTATTTTGAAGGAAACTGTCGTTGGGTGCCCCTGATTGTTTTCCTCGGAATTATTAAAAAAGGGAAAGAAGAATTAATAATTATTTTATTCAACAATTGCAACAGGGAAACTCATTGATTCTGCTTACCCTCCTCCCTCGCGGCCTTATGAACAACACCTTAACATCACGTTTTACTTAAACAGGAGGATGAAGTTTCTATTTGTGCTATCGCTGATGCTGTGTTACAGTTCAGCTCAGAGTGCTGATTCAAGTGAGTATATCGAACAGTCCAACCTATGTGCATGAGTGACTACCTTTCGTAGTTAAGCGACCATCTAACCAAAAAACCAAAACTTTCCCAGTGAAAGCCCTACAGTTGGAACCTCTAGTAAACCACCACCTCCTTTAAGCGACTGCGACCACTATTTGGGTCTGACGGACGGTTTAATGATTTCCATTGGTTTTAACCTCTTGTAAGCGACCACTTCATGGTCTTTCAAGCATTGTCTGATCTCTATTTTGGCAGTGTGAACTATGCTAATAGGAATATACGGAGAACTTTAGCAAAACAAGCTGTGTTCGGACATCTCCTTAAAGCGGCCATTGAGTCTGCATTTTTGTGCTCTCTTATGGGGGTTCGCATGCATTTTTATCGCGCAGAATATGTGACCCCTATTTTTCTCCTATCCGTCCACCCAATCAGTTGACATGGAGAAAACAGACACTAGTGTTTAACTACCAAACATCTGGCGACTTTTCTTCTTTAAGTTTTTTTGTGGCAGTTTTCGTTATCCACCTATCGTGTTTAAAAACTCAATCACCCTAGGTCAGATTTGATTTCAGGTAAATATCCTGTAAGTTTGCGACATTGCATTTTTAAACCAGTGGCAAAATAGTGGGATTTAGGAAATTCGTTTTAATTGGTAGAAAAAAGAACATGGAGGGCGACACCTCAAAGTTCTCTATTGATTAAGAGAACACAAGTTGACGTGTAGAATATACAATCTGATTTTGTAGGATGTGGTTCTGTGGTAAACAACAGCTTGACAAGTCCTGGATTTCCAAGAAAATATCCAAATAACATGCACTGTGTGTACAACGTTTCCATTCCATCAGGAAAGGCACTGAAGATCAATTTTTCAACTTTTGAACTGGAATTACATCCTCAATGCGGGTAAGTAATTTTTTTTGACAATAGAGAGATTTAGAGTCACGTTAACTGTAAACGGCAAACGTGAGATTCAAGTTGAGAGTATCTCAAATAAAAAATAGCAGGTAAAAACAGCTCAAAGCAATTCTTATGGATAAAACTGGCGTGAAACAATTTATTTAACTTCTTTGCAGAAGTAATGAACAGTAAACGTCAAGAAAAAAGAAAACTTGGTCACGTGGTACAGATTCACTTTTGCCATTTAAAGTTAACGTGACAGATGACAAACAATTGAAAACCACTTAAGGTGACTCGACCCAGTTTTTTTGGGGGGGTACCATCCTACTTTGAAGCTCTCTGGTATCCCCACCTTTACTTTTATCGTAAGTCTAACACATAGAATGGATAACATATAGATCAATCTACAATATAACATACAATTTTTGGCGATCGGAGTAAATGTCACGTGGTTATAATGCCACGCCCCTTTGAGGTCTGAGTCGAAAATCGGCTGTTGCCGGCATTTTTTTGTGAAAATCTCTCGGCTACACATAGTGCGCATTAGTGCCTTGCGCTGAACAGAGTTTCACCAAAATCGCAAAGACCCAATTCGAGAAATTCAGCGGTTTCCAAATTTAGGTCATAATTTATGCGAAAATGATAAGCAAACTTTACACGGATTATATATAATAAACTATGAGATTAATCTCCTTATTTTGGGCATCGTTATAACAGATGAGTCCTTGCAAGTCAGCAAAACGCTTTAGGGCCTTGTAAATGCGCGCGATTTCGAGCAAAGCAAACATATAGAAATTATAGTTTTCGCTATTTGTTGACGTTTGTCAGCGTTTGAGAGTCCTTCTCACGAAAAAAGCATTTTCTTAAAAATTCGTAGTTTTTTTCCTTCAATTTTTGTCAGGGCCACAATTGATTAACTAACTACCCGGACTCTGAATTTCATGGTCATTGAAAAACTGTGACATTATCTTCTATAAGCTCAAACTTGAGTAAACATTGAATATTTTTAGCGTTTTGGCTGAGTTTGTGCTTTGGGAGTTGTCTATTGTTTCTAGTCTGTCATTATACAGCATTCTTGTTCAGCACGCGTGCAATGACCGCGCTTGGCTGACTTCCGAGATAGGCCATCGCGTGATACATAGAGGTTTAACTAACAATTTTTCATCAATTCTCGTGCTTCTTGTGTCTTTGCAAAAAAATCAAGAAGTGCTACACACTAAGTCTACTTACTATTACAAAAATATCATTTTTCCATAGGTTTAATGCAAGCCAATAATTAAACCAACTCGTGACGGGAATATCTCAGTGAGCATTCGGAAGTCAGCCAAGCGTAGTCATTGCACGCGTGCTGAACAAGAATGCTGTATAATGACAGACTAGAAACAGTAGACAACTCCCAAAGCACAAACTCAGCCAAAACGCTAAAAATCTTCAATGTTTACTCAAGTTTGAGCTTATAGAAGATAATGTCACAGTTTTTCAATGACCATGAAATTCAGAGTCCGGGTAGTTAGTTAATCAATTGTGGCCCTGAAAAAATTTGAAGGAAAAAAAAACTACGAATTTTTAAGAAAATGCTTTTTTCGTGAGAAGGACTCTCAAACGCTGACAAACGTCAACAAATAGCGAAAACTATAATTTCTATATTTGCTTTGCTCGAAATCGCGCGCATTTACAAGGCCCTAAAGCGTTTTGCTGACTTGCAAGGACCCATCTGTTATAACGATGCCCAAAATAAAGGGATGAATCTCTTGGTTTATTAGATATAATCCGTGTAAAGTTTGCTTATCATTTTCGCATAAATTATGACCTAAATTTGGAAACCGCTGAATTTCTCGAATTGGGTCTTTGCGATTTTGGTGAAACTCTGTTCAGCGCAAGGCACTAATGCGCACTATGTGTAGCCGAGAGATTTTCACAAAAAAATGCCGGCAACAGCCGATTTTCGACTCAGACCTCAAAGGGGCGTGGCATTATAACCACGTGACATTTACTCCGATCGCCAAAAATTTTATGTTATATTGCAGATTGATCTATATGTTATCCATTCTAGGTGTTAGACTTACGATAAAAGTAAAGGTGGGGATACCAGAGAGCTTCAAAGTAGGATGGTACCCCCCCAAAAAAAACTGGGTCGAGTCACCTTAACTGACTCGGCTTTGGTAACAGTAGATTAGGAACTTGAGTTAAAGTGATACTTATTACTCTAAAACTTAACATTTTTGTTGGCAAAAACATACCCACAAATTCCGAAGTTCGACTTGTACGCTGCAAGTTTGCGGATCTGTGATATTACGCCTAGAAATAGGGCAAAATCAGGCTTCTAAAAACCCAGGCTGACAGGTAAGTATATTCCCCCGGGAAAAACACCGGCCATTGAGAATAGCCCTCTCATTTTAAGATAAAGATAGACCTGTCTTTAGAAACTGATCATGATAACACCAATAAGGATGTAAAACACACTGATACTCTTAAAATTCTTAAAAGAATTAAAGAGTGTCTGCCAGTAAATTAGCGGTCTGGTCTATACGGCGTGAAATTTCTTGTGCGTTGAAAGACTTTCATGTACCTGCACTTAACGGCCCCAATCCACTAGATCAGTGTATTTTTTAAACACTCCAGTTTTGAGACAATTTTGGTTCACCCCATCCAACGCTCGCGTTGCGCGGCTTAATTCAAGGCTGAAAATCAACAAAACTTTGAATGTTGATTTGGAAAGAAATAGTAATTATTAGATAAAAGAAATAACACAAAAAGCCATCATAATTCCTTTGACATAACACAATAACATTAAGCACAATTTAACAATTTATGCCAACATTAAGCACAATTTAAAGCCATAGCAAGATTTTAACGATCCCCTTCCCGCACTGATAGATCAAGTGGAGCCAAACCACCCCCCAAATGGGGTCCCAAATGTGTCATTTGCTCTCGGATAAAAAATTGAAGTAGAGTAACATATATAGAAACCATGATATTTTGTGAAAGATTACTTCCGAAAAAAATATAATTTCTACGATTTCTTCGATGCTTTCTTCTCCTAAAATACTGCCTACAGTGCATTCATTAGTCATTGACCAGGTGACAGCTTTTACTTCATCAGTATGGTATTTCTGTTGTTTCGGCGCAGACGGCTCTCTCTCGAAATGTTCCTAGCGGCAGAGAGCGATGGGAGTCGGCTGTTTCGCAGCCTAATGAACAAAATTCAAACTATTATTTACAAAATCGAATGTTCGTTGCTGGTGCTCGTAGATAGTGGGCTCAAAAGGTGTAGAGACGTCTCACTGGCTAAACTGAGATCTGACCAATGATATGGTTTTCGTTCTGGAAAATGCCATAGCTTTTTTAAAACCAAAATTAAGATTTCACGCCTCAATGCTTTTACGTGAGTTGAGATGAGTGAAATCCCTTTCACAGGCCTTTGTCATCTGTAAGTAGGTCGAAACAATAGAACATAAAAGCCTCTTGTTTAACGTTAATTGGCATTCGTAGACGGCGGCAATTCAACTGCTCGGGAGTGACTCAAGTGCAACATAAAATGAAAGAATTTGATCGGCGGCTTGATATTCCGCAGAAACGTTTGGAGCTTCCTTAACTCCACCATAAAGCACGACTCCCAATTAGTTGAGGCAGGAGAACATAAAAGGCTTTTATGTTATCTTGGCGGTTAAGGTTATTTCTAAGAATTTAACTGCCCTTAATAAAAAACATATTTTTTCCCTTCTAGGTATGATTATTTGAGGATTGTAGATGATCACAAAAGAGCACTTGGTACATATTGTGGGACCGAACTTAGTGCGAAGGTAGTTTTGGTAACTGGAAACTACGCATTAATAACATTCCACTCTGACGGTTCTCAACAATACCTGGGATTCCAGCTCACGATATTATTTAGTGAAAATCAAAATGGTATGTTCAAATAAGAAAGCGTTCTGTCATAAAAAGTAAATAAAATGAAATAAAATAAAATATTATAAAGAATATAAGTAAGTTGCCATTCAGGTAAGATGTCAAAGTTGATGTTTAGAGGTCAAGGTGAGGTGCGCGGCATTTTTAAGAAAAGTTAACTGTAGTATATAAAGTAGAGGGTCAAAAATGAGAGGAAGTGGCAGTAGTACGCCAACAAAGCCTGTGCCTGCTCCTCGAAGGGGGAGTAAGCCGAAAGAGCCGAGCGCTTCGGATTAATTGTAGATTGAAAACACAGTTCGGCAATTTTATAAGTGGATGGATAAGCTCGGAAAATGTGTTTGTTGCGCCTACCAGAAAAGGAGAAACGTTACCAAAGTTGGCCGACCTACTGAAAAACGAACTTTTCTATGTCCTCGAGGAAGGAGAATCTTTCTCCACAAGAGTTTGCACTCTGGCGGAACAAAGGTTAAAAACTGGGCTGCGATGCTTTCCCAAATTAGGGAAAAATTGAACACGCCAACTGACAATGAACAATTATTTCGACAATCCACTTCTTCGTGATTTGGCTCTGTAAATCACTATCCGTGAGAATTTAAACATCCTGCTAAAAACGCTAACGAGCTGGGCCCAGCGTGACAAAACCTTGCAGGAAAAAGTCACATTCATGGACACAAAGAAAATGGCTTAGAATTATTCAAATCCAGGAGGCACTTTGGAAAAATGGAACAACCTAAAACCCTTAATCAGCCTCAACGAAGAACTTTACATTTCTAAAGAGGCCAAAAAAGAAAATGCTCTTACATCAGTGGGCAAATCATGCCGACCAGAGAAAATCAATATGCGTGTCACGACATATCAGTATGAAATTCACATTTGCCCAGTCAAAACGTTTTCCTTCAAAGCGTAATCTACTCGACAAAGAAAACAATTATTTTGGCATGAGGTAAAAGTCGTGTGTTTTCTACCGATCCCCCTTTTTTACACAGGCGAGATAACAATGACTGTCGGCCGTTGCACGGAACTTGAAGAACTCTTTGCATGAACAAGCATCTGATAAATAAGGCTGTTGGTAGGACACAGAAAACATCCTTTCCCCTGAGCAGTATCTCCAAAGCTTCCCTCTGCTTCGATTTTACAACAAATCCCAGTTCTTGCGCGAGCAAATCCAAGCAATCAAGTCATTTTACAGCAAAAGCCTTAGGAATCTATTCATCACGCACGGTACGGAATATCCCGAATGGTTTGTTGGAAACATTACTTGACAGCTTGTTGACAGCTTGCATCGTAATTTAGCCAATGGGAATTGCCCGTGGCTGGGAGAAGCGGGTAATTCGAACAAAAATAACGAATGCAAAACGGACAGTCCGTATTTTTAGCGTCTCTCCCCAGTCTCGCTCTCTGTTTTCAGCCTCGTTCCAGACCTTTCGTTTGACTGCTCGCGCGTACTCGAATACGCAAGAATACGGACTGTTTTGCAGTCTATCTTTCCAGATGAGGTCGTCTCATGAGTACGTGACTACTTTTAACAAAATGACTATTAATATAATTCTCCAAGAGTAGAATAAAATTACGTTATATTCTGTATTCTTTCAGTTGAACATCAGGTTTAAAGTTCGACATTATGACATGCATGCTGCTCAGTATATAGGATGGATATAACACTGGTGAAGAAATACGTGACAAAACAGTACTCTGCCTCTGTAGACGATACTCTTGCCGTCCTATGATAACGACTGATCACATCTGCTTCCTCAACGACTAGAACTCTGTTTTCCCACACTCTTACGCTCCTACATTGATAAATATTCTTTCCTGTCCCCAATATACACGTACTAATGTTTCACGAGATAATTTGTTAAAGAATAAATAAATTCACGTCAGTCTTTAACCCTCGGACTTTCACCCGTGGTACAAGAAGGTGCGGTTGCAACCCCTCTGGAATTCTTGCTATGTTGTACAGGTCCAGCTTACCCCTATAGATTCCGTTAATTAATGAATCGATTTGTTTGAAAAATGAATTTCGTTGTACGATATGTAGAGTCGTTGCCGCAACCAGGGGTCCGAAAACAATAGCTACACTTAAAAATTACTCTTGTAAAAGTTTTATTAAATTGACCCCAGTATTTCAAATCTGCCTTCTTTCACATTTACGTAATGAGCAGTGAATTTTTTTAACGATACCTCTCTGTATTCGGTCAGATTGAAAAATCTTTGAATGGATAAAATTGCTTTGAAGACATTTAGATCAAATTCAAGAAATCTGAGTAGGTAGAAATTTCACTGTTCTCTCTCGAGTGTGAATATATCTTTTTCACCGATACGGCGGCCATATTGAATTAATTCGATTTAAGGAGTATTATAGGATGCCCAGGGAGCATGAGCGCATTTCGTTTGTATTTTCGAGTGCTTTTCGGGACATTTTTTCTTAAAGTTTTCTTAGAATAAGATTGTAATGGGAAAAAAGATCCTTATGCCGTGTTTGGATGTAATAATGATCGCCTTTTGCTAGTTTAGTATTAGAAATATGGTCTTTCATTGTATATTTCTTGGGAAAAGAGCGATCATCATCAAAACACGGTACAAGGATCATTTTTCCCATTATAATGTTATTCAAAGAAAACTTTAAGAAAAAATGTCCCGAGAAGCGCTCGAAAATACCAACGAAATGTGCTCATGCTCCCTGGGCATCCTATAATACTCCTTAAATCGAATTAATTCAATATGGCAGCCGTATCGGTGAAAAAGGTATATTCACACTCGAGAGAGAACAATGAAATTTCTACCTACTCAGATAATATAATATATAATACTACTTATTAAAAATAAATCGAATTAATTCAATATGGCCGCCGCATCGGTAAAAAGGTCTATTCACTGCTCATTATGCATGCAGGAATGCAGATGAATCTGAAATCTACAACTACCAACGGATTCAACATTCGAATAATAAATTTCATTAATGAACATTATGCCATGCGGCCCCGTTAAAGAACTGTTGTGAAATTTGAAATAGACGCCATTTTATTTGTAAATAATCTAGATTTACTTAAATAGTTAAAAAACTAAGAATTTAATTTCTTCATGCTTGAGGTGATATTGTTATAATTTAAAACTGTTTAACTGCTTTTGTAGCCTACCTCGCAGACGTTCTTAGGTGCTTCGTCACGCGTTCCTGCCGGGGGAACGCGTGACGAACCCCCTAAGCATGTCAGCGTGAGAAGCTACTGCTTTTGGCAATGGGAGAAATTGCGATAGACTCGAATTTTGCAAAAAATCGATTGAAGAGCATATCAATATCAAATGCACCACATTGAAGAGCATATCAATATCAAATGCGCCACACTTACTAATAAAGTGTACAAAATACATACGTGATTTTTTTTCAAAGCGAACGACTGAAGAGGCGAAAGGCCAATACGTGCACCATTTTGACAACGCCATCTCTGACATGAGGATGATATCACCCATCCACTATTAAAACAGTCTTAAGGGTTACAAGTAGAATAATATTTGCTCTTATAGCATTTTACGCTTATGGCTTACGCTTGCCCAATGACGTAACATACATGTAATGGTGTAACATTTCTTGTTTCTTTAAAATTGTGCGTAACCTCGATGGATCGACATCTCAGCCCGCGATGAGGTCATGTGATACTGGTCAGTGGATACCCTGTTTTCACAACATTTCTTTGGTGCGGAAGAGGGACGAAGAGCGTACGGACGAGTGACTGCCCAAATTTCAATTTCTCGGATGGATAAAGGGCTATGAGGCTAAGCTCGCGCGCACCTCGCGCACCCGTGGAGCTCCGCTAAGACATATTTAAACCTCAAAACAAGAGAATGCTTATTTTCTACGCTTACTTTATTGCAGAAATCTGAATGTTCAGAAAAATTCAAGTTACAGACCATTTTCGGTTACCTCACGGCTCTGAAACTCTTGCATGACGGTAGGGGTTGTCAATTTCCCCGTAAGTCGGAACAGAGGCAAGCCAAACTTTATACATAATTTGCTTAGCTTTGAAGGCGAAATTCATGACTACAATCTAGAAAAAAACTTCGCTCATCTCAACCTGTGGGTTTGCATGTCCTTTTCCTGTGTAACCTGGGCTGGATTCAGCTAAAGAGATAAGGATAAGATTGAAATATTTTAATGAAACACAAGGTCTTGAAATCCATCGCTTATACATTTCAGTTTCATGTGGGTCAGTAGTGAACAATACGCTGAAAAGTCCTCCAAACCCAGATGGCGTCTATGGATACAGGGTGAACTGCAGTTACAACGTTTCGATTCCAGATGGTAAGGTGATGAGACTCAAGTTTCCAATTTTTGACCTGGAGTCAGATTCAGGATGCAGGTAGGTATATATAAATTTGGCTTGTCATAACTGAATTTTAATTTTGAGATTGCTCGTCCAAAACCTTTTTTATACAGACTCTTTAAGCTCGGTTGTTATAAAGTCGTTTACCTAAAAGAAAAAATATGAAAATTAAAAAAGTATTATGATAACTACATAAAACATCCATTTCGGTAACACGTTTGCTTAACCAACGGGAAATCCAAACGGAAAATCATCAAATCAATTCATGGAAATTAAAAGTTACCCTGGTCCAAGACATTTTCTCTCTATTTTTCTCCTCGCACTTGAGCAGAAGGCGGCTCACGAGATGAGAGAAAACCTATTTTCATTGTGCTGAATCTCTCTTTAATCCAGACGTTGGGGTCAGTAACTGATCCTTGGGCCCCGATTGGTGGTATTTTAACCAGCACGAGAATCTGTCTCGACTGATAAATCCTTATTTTTTGCACCAAGCGAGGAAAGGGTAGGGCTACTTGTTACTTTGCAGCAAGACGAATTGGTAAAGATTTTCTCACCCTCTTGCAGGATCCATTATTTGAAAATAACGAATGGTTTTGAGAAAGGTCAATATTGCGGTAACCAGCTCATGGGAAGAAACCTTGTTGTATCAGGAAACTACGTTGTATTAACGTTCCACAGGGTCGCGCTGCTCGAGAACAAGAGAGATTTTGAAATATTCTTCGCTCCAGAAATTCCAAGTAAAAGTAAGTAGAAAAAGGTAACAACTTTAGTTGACAATATTGTTTCACTGATGACTGAACAACTCTTTCAAGTGGCTGTTCGTTTTAGAATCCACCACTTGATTGGGTATAAAGTTTTGTATCATTCAGCAAGAATTATACTTATTTGTGTTTTTTCTTGGTTCCATGAAAGTTAAGGGAACTTCTTCTATATTGATAATTCATCTTGCATGGCCTGGTAGAAACATTGATAATATTTATCATGCAGTTCAAATTCTTGTAAAGCGATCTTTAGTAACCGAAAGAACGCTTTCTCTATGTATGTAGGTGGAGGTTAACTATCAAAAGGTTAGAACAACCAAAGAAATTTAGTCTTTTTGGAAGGCGCAAAAAGGGGGAGGCAAAAGAGGGGTAGAGGGAGAAAAGCGCCAAGGTAAAAAGGGAAGGGAATGTCTGCTAAGTCAGTATAATTTTCCTTAACCTGTTCCAGGCTCCGTGATAGTCGGGTCCGCGGGGGTTGAGAAAGCGCGAAAATAAAACGGGGGTGGGGGCTGGCGAGAGGAAGAGCGGCAGTGGCTGTAATCAGTTTTTGAAACGGCTTGCTCCGGTATACCAGATCCTGGTATAGCTTCTGTTTGGTCAGATTTGACAGTTTATATTAACACTTCTCAAGAGAGTTCTAAAGTGATGACGTCATAAAAATTAAATTTTTGAAATAGTGGAATTTGTCAGGATATTTTGAAAGAACATCTGAAAGGCCTACTTGCCAAAAACTTGCACTGTTGGGCAAATTGTCTCGGAGATACTAATCCCGTTTTGCTCTGATAACTCCATACAAATCTTTTATAAAATTTACTCGATACTTAGTGTTATGAATTGAGTCTGAAATTCAGAAGAAGGTTCGCTGTTAACGAGGTTGCCGATTTAATCGGTGGTTGCTAGTTGGTAAACTAGTGGATAAGGCATCTAGTCTATGACTAGAGAAACGCCGCAGACTCGAATTGTTAGTCTCGCTTGCGTAAGCAGCGAGATAGATAATCTGCAAGCCGTGTTTCTTCGTATTTAGGACACAAAAGGGCGTTGGGGTCCCAGGCGTTCCTAGCGGAGACCGAGAAAACTGGGAATAAGAATCGTTGCGTGACCGAAGCCACGCATGTTTTGCGAAGAAAGCTTAGGAAAGATTAATAAATGCGATTTAGATCGGTCGGTCCACGAATTCTATCACTTGAAAGAGTTGATAACTTTGGAACAACTGAACACTTCAGTGATGGAAAAAAAAATCTTAATTAGCAAAGACTAACTGGTCGGGTGTTGTAAACTTTTATCGTAAGCAAATGAACCTTTTGATGACGACGATGATTGAAATGACGTGCCATGTTCTCACCACAATGTAATTTCTCTCCAATCAAGGCACTTGAATTTTCGTGTAATTATACACGCGTACAGCCTGCTACCGCAAACGTATCTCCGGTCGTCTCTAACACGCTACTTAGGGACGAACCATTTAGTTTTTGTAGGGGGCGAGGAGGGAAGGGGTTTTGCACTTACCAAATAAAGGTCCTGCATAAGAAATTTAAGCGAAAAAAAATCATGCACAAGAAAGTACCATGATAAAAAAAATTCAAGCATGCGTGCTCGTTGAATTTTTTATATGAACAGGTATTTAACGGTCAAATGAACCAAAAAATTGACATATTTTCTTTTGTCGCTTTACCTTCACCAAACACTAAAAAGAACCATCCTAAGTGACATTTGGATAAAGATTTTTCTTCCCAAGCCTTTAACCCTATTCAGACTGGGGGGCTTTTCGAACCCCCCCCCGGCAAAATCGTGATAACTCCTACACCGAAAGAGCTATGACGTTCAAATTTTTTGACTTTTCCTAAAATCTATCTAGGAACATTTTGGTATAATTACCATGTCCATGTGATTAATCGTGTTGCCATGGCAACCAGTTTCTGACACATGGGTTTTGGAAAATTTAAAAAATGGTGATTTTTTTGTTTTAAGATCGCGATTTTACACTTATAGTGCTTTTTGTTGTTAAAATGGTCTTTGCTTGGGACTAGTTTTTGAATTACACCAAAATGTTTCAACATCGAATATTTGGGGGGGAGGGGTGGGGTAAAATTTGTCACTTTTTTGCTTTGACAAATATGCTGCTCTATTTTCCAAATAACACTTCCAAAGTCATTTGTTTGGGTAATAAACATTAGTTTGATACTTCTTTTATACATTCTGAGCTTTTTCCCTTTGAAAGTTGCTTTAAATTATAATTTTAAAAAAACGGAAATCCAAGATGGCGGATCCAAGATGGCGGATCCAAGATGGCGGACAACCATTTCAAATTTTAAATTTTGTTGCTTCCTATTGCTTTTTCTCGCTGTACAAGTGTTTCCTTGTTACTAGTTCATAAGAAAGGATAACAAAGAGATGACTTTACCAATATTATTGATATTTTACGTATCTAAGTGGAAAAATAATAAGAAACATTGAAAAATCGGAATATGACGTCACTGTGACGTCATCATTGGGCGTGGCAAGTCAAAACTGGGTGTGGGGCTTCTTTGTACGGAGATGATCATTGTGTGTAAATTTCATGACCCTAGCATTATTGGTTCCAGAGATACAGAGGGGGGTCCGAGGAGCCCCCCCCCCCCCCAGTCACAGATTGACCAAAAAAGCCCAGTCTGAATAGGGTTAAAGAAAGATAAAAGATCAAAATCCGAGCATTTCCGAAAACTTCACGAAAATGTTTCTGAAATGGCCGCGTGATAGACTGGAGACTACGTGACGTCAATGTTGGTCATTCAGGGCGGAAAAACGTTCTGCGTAAGCTTCTGCGCATCCCTCATTAGTCCGTGGGCCAGAAAGTGAAACCCTCCCCCCCACTCGGGGATTTTTGCAGACATGTTTAATTTCAAAGCTTCACCCAAGGGTATTTGAAAAATGCATGTTTGCACTTGATTGGTTGGTGGGTGTGGCTGTGCAGCAACATTCTTTTCCTCAGCAGAGTCACAGGCTACCCACACCAAGAAATGAGTTAACCTCTTCTGAAACACCATTACCGACAAAAATAACACTCAGAGTTATTTAATACAAAGTATTTTTAATCTCATACGTAAGTTAAAATTCTCTACTTTACTTTTAAGTTTCAAAAAATTACTACTGCGCATGTCACAAGGTAAAGAAGAATATATGTAAAATAGTGGACAATAGCCATGGAGCACTTTCACAACTGTAAAAACCTTTGTGAATAAACATTTTTCAAATGTAATCCCCTTCATTAATTTAGCAGATGTGTTTTAGATTTAAACGTAACAGGGCAGTGATGTCCCTCACTTTGTTTTAGGTTTCATGTTCAGTGCACGAGAAGTCCCCTGTAGAGCCACATTTTCTCTTTGAACAAGTTTATCAAAAGTCATTTTCGAAAACAACATCGCTAATATCTTCGTAATCGACAGTAACATCTTCTTCATCCTTAGAAGATGGATTCAGAGGGCCGGTTATAATGTCTGCGAGTTCCTGAGGCATGAGATTGCCGTTCGTCCAGCAGATTTCAAGCTCACCTTCGACGTTAGTGTTCCAGCCATGCCCGTCTGGTAACGGGATACTTGGTGTTGCCTGATCAGCTTTCTTCCATATGAGCGCTTGATAATTTGCTCTTCTCACATGCATTTTCAGACTTTCTCGACAAGGTGGAAGATGGCTCATGTCAACACCATTGTAGCTTGTCAGTACCTCTCCTGGCTTTACACTGAATCTCTCAATAAATTTTTCGTATCTGAGAGAGTTGATGTCGCCCAACTTGCTTCCGTACATCAGACATGTGAACTTTTCAAGATCTTTAAATATTCTGTCTTCTATGTCAACTCTCGATCCTAGAGCATGAAAGGTTGGAAGAAACTCAGGATGTTTTTTGAGGAGTGTGAGCGGCTTCACTTTCCCTCTTCTCACAAAAGCACTAGTCGTATCGCAGCCAGTAAATGCGTGCAGAGCTACAAGAGCCAGGTTAATCTCATCTCCGAGATCTTTAGCAACAGCTTGAACATTTACAACTCGGCGCTTGTCACCCGTTCCAGTGTCAAACAGCACTGTCTGGTTTATATGACGTACAAATCTGGGAAATAAAATGAACACTTCGGTATCAGGGGATCTCACTAGTATGACCGAGCTTTCTGGTGAGTTGGCAGCAACATCGTTACAATGCAAGATCATTCTGGTATCGGCCTCCTCGTGTGAAGAGCACAACTTCTCAACTTCCTCTGTAACTACATTCTTTCCATCGATACTTTTTAAGCTGATATGCATTTCCTCTCATTAACGAAAACTAAATGCTTTCCCTGCAGCTTTGGAGCATATTTTCCCTTTTTCCACTCATCTAAGAGGAAGCTGCACAAGCGTCTTTTGTTTTCTTCATTACACAAGAACTTTTTCCAATCACGAGGTCCTTTCACTAGATGTGCTTGTGAAGAACCTCTTCTTGATCGTTCTAATCCTTTTATCGAACGGGGATTATAGGAGTCTGTTACAAAGTCAACGCGTTGTGCTCTGGGTAGTTGCTGAAAAACGTACTCAGCTAGCTCTCCGAAAGTGTTCGGAAGAGAAACCATTGCTTGCAGCAAAGAATTTCCGTCTACTATGTAGCATTGAAATCCCACAGTGGCTCTCTGGGCCAGGTGCGATTTGTCCTCCAGGCAATGCATTAGTTTAGCTTTGTCAGTTTTTATCATTGCTCCATCTGAAGTTGCCAGAGCCCAAGGAACAGGACCAAGCGGGTAACTTAGCACGCGTTCGAGGCTAAGCTCATGCTACAGTGCCAGTATAACAAGTTGCCCAAAAACGTTTCTTTCTGTAGTTATTTCTATGTTCTTTCTGGCATTTCCTTGGACTAGTTAAGTTTTGGCTTGATTTGCAAACGTTTTTAGATTTTGCTTTTTCACTGGGGCGTGAAACCTGACGGTTTTGTCTATGAGCCTGTCCTGAACGAGCTGCTTGTGGGCTTTCTTGCCAATTTCATCAGACATTAGAA